CATTCCACATGAGATCTTTGGCAGCAAATCGTCTTGAATTTTCTCCCCTCCATATTTCTTCCATATGGGCAGATTCCGAGCTGTCAAAAACGAAATTGCAGTAAATCATATCCTTGACTTTAAGAATGGCAAAAAGCGAAGCAAATATCTCAGAATTTTGGCTGTCGACCCTCCACTCCTCGCTTTCATGTTACACATGTTGTTGGTGGCACTATTTATAAAGCTGATTTCCCCCTTCTCCTAGAATCTGTTTTTCTTTGACCCCACCAACTCTTCGCTTATCGCTCTGTGGTTCATTAAAATCCGAAGACCGAGAAGCAAAGAGAAGGCCAAGATGCACAATTAAATCCGGATAAAAGTCGGAGGAGAAGCGTAAAACTTGTGCCTCTCTGCACCGCCCTCTTCCAGAATTGATAATAAAAATTCCTCTCTCCCTTCATCGTTTTGTGCGAGGCGCTTCCTTCGCGTCTATTCATAGAGTTGTTTTCTAGGCGTGATGGAATGGCTTTGGTTTGTATTTTTAGATACAGCAGCCTTTGAAATGTATCTGGCGACTGCATCTTAGCGACCGAGTGGCGGGCCATGCCTAATTCAAGCAAGACTAAGATTCCTGCGAGTGCTTGCAGATGCAAGATAGATAGCAGCAAGCCGAAATACCAAAAATAGCTCAAGTCGAAATTGTCGCGCAGGACTTGGCACCAATTCAGAATGCAGCTTCGCCGCGTATCCCACGGATGCCGCGTTGCCACATACCACTAGAGTTAATCACCTCAATTATAAGGTGGCTGCGACTTTGGCTAAAAAAGTTTTAATTGCACAAACACTTTGTTGCAAGCCAAAAAAATATTTTTGCATATCTGACGATGTCCTAAATATTTCGTTTTAGCAAGGAATTTTCTTGAAAGGTACACTTAACTTTTAAAGAGATGCGTAGTTATTTTAACATGTTTGCAAAACAACGAATTTTTGATTTTATCCAAATATTTACAAATTAATGATTAAATTGTAAATGTTTTGTGAACTTACAATTTAATAATTATTTTTATCTTTTAAACTTAGGTAGATGCTTTAGATTTAAAAGCCGTTTAAAATATTTTGCGATTGATAACGAATCCCTCAGATTTAGGGCCAAGAGTCTGTGCAGCCTCTGTTTATGCCTCGCTGATTTGGTTTTAACCCCCACGATTCTTTAAAGTCAGAAATATTCAATTTCAAATTCCACTTAATAATCGCTTTATGACCTTAATGAGTAGGGGCGCGGTGGCCGAGAGAATCCCAAAGCGCTTAGTCAATACAGCAAACAAGATCCGCCGGAGACCTCAGCCGCTCCACCTTATTCACTCGCTCGCCGGAGACGTTAAAGAATGCGAAACTATTTGAACGATATTCAAACCAGTTCCCAGTGAATTTGCCGCATAAATTTCATGATTTTGTCAACCGACTTCAAGGTTAGCTTTTAAGGAAAAACAAACAAAGTAAAAACACAAATTATGTAGTTTCGTTTCGGACAAAGCAGCGCCACTTTGTTGGCTGCCTGGAGAAGATGGAAATTAATTAATTGATTGACTTCAGCAGCTGCTGTTCATGACACAGTGGCCAAATGAGATTTTCGTTAACAGATTATTGTTTGACATAATTTGTAGGCGTGGGTGCTTCTCCTGCGCTTCAGCCCGCTCCCCGCCTCGTGGCCAGAAAACTTGCAACAAACAGTGGCATGTTCGTGTGCGTCAAGAAAGCTGAAGGCAACACACACAACTTGAAGCGGAAATGCAGATAAAAAATCAAAGAGGTGGTGAAAATTGAGAGGAAAACCTTTGGAAAATTAATGAGCTGCAAGCAATGCGGACATTGTTAAGGAGAAAAACATTTTTCCCTCTTTACTATTGGAGAAACGACTAAAGGGGAGAGCGTAGAATGAGCAGGGTCAAATTATTTGGAAATAGTGGCTGAATCTTTATCACAAAGTATTTAACATATTGAAAAGACTTTCATTTAGCCACACATCGATCAGATCAAGATTCATTTATCAAACCCAATCAAAGCAAAGCCAAACAAAGAAATATATTTACTCAAACAAATCCCCAAATATTTCACAACGAATAGACCTTCAATTCTTACAAATATTATGCACTCAAATCAGCACTCTTGCAGTAAAAACATTTGTATAAATATTTAAGTTTTTATTTACTTCACTTTGACCCTATTTTAGTGGGTTGTAAAGTGAAATAGCAGTTCACTAAAATCAACAAATATACTTTGAAGCTAAGAGAAAACTAGGTAAAATTTAGAAAAATTATTTCCCAACACAGCGTCAAATGGAAAAACTAAACCAAGGCAACAACACCACACCGAGGGGCACTGGCAATAACACGAATTATAGCTGCTACAAAAATTACCAGGTAAACGTTTCGCTTTTCATTTTACACCATCCACAAAACACACACCAACAAGCAGGCAGGCAGCAGACAGACAGACACAACTTCTCCCACCTACCCTTCTGAGTGCTCCCTTTCCATTTTCCGCTGGTTGTAAACAAACCAAAAGGAGGTCAATCCATATTGGCAGAATTAAGTGGGACAAACAACAGATTCGGCGGTGAAATGTTTACAGAACTTAAACTCTTGGATTGATTATTGCAAAATAGCAAATGCAAAGTGGGATCACTAAGGGAATATCTCTTCGAGATTTCCTCAATAAATTCTATAGTCTGATTATTGTGCTTTGAAATAAGCGGAATGAATTCGACCATTTATAAAACCGGTAATTAAAAATTACAGGAGGGGCGATTTCAGAATCCACATTTCCATATGAGATCATGCCAACCGGGAGCTTGTTCAGCCAAGCAAGTGAATCAACGATCGAGAATGTTGTTATTAACTGAAGAGGAGGGATAATATACATAGAATATACGTGGCAGAATAACAAAATAAATAAATCTCAAATACCAAGAAAATCAAACACAATTATGGTGCATTTTTGTGCATTCATTCTGAAATTAGTTTAAAAATGAGGAAAAATACTCAAGAAATGGTGAAGATGATCTGGCAAAATCTCTAATCTGAACTCAAGCTCTGTTTTTCTAACTTATTTTTCTGACCCAAAAAAAAATTGAAGAAAAGAACAATTGTGTTAATAGAATTCGAATATTAACAATCATTCTCCTAGATTCTTGGCTATAAAAAACTAGTAATAATTTACAACTTCCTTTAACACGGTTTTCGTATACATTGGGTATTGGGCCTAAAAAGTCGTAAAGTTTTCTGCCTTCGGTTAGGCAACTTGGCTTTTAACTGACCTAAACCATCCCACTACTAATGAGCCATTAACACGCTTATCTCACAAAGTGCCGAAGGAGGAGGAAACTTGGCCAAAATACGAGACCCATGACCGAAAGACTCAGCCAAAAATTGGCTACGCACATGAGATCGGTTTTTGGGATTTTGTTGGCCCAAAGAGGAGACCGGCCAACTCGACTCGGCACGTGAGGATCGGCGCTAAAAGCCAAATCGCTTTGAGGTCAAATCAAAAGGGGGGAAAATGAAAATGAAAGAGGCGAGCGACGAGTGGAAAATAATATGAATTTCCTCAATTAGATTTCCCAGTCTCTGACCCCGAACTAGGCACGAAATCGAACGGGGAAAATCGGAGGGAAACGAATGCAAATCGCATTAAGACGCGCATTTAATCTGCTGCAAGGCATCGCCTTAACCCCGCCCGAGGAAAATGCTGGCAAATGGGAAAAATGGGGTGGGAAATGTGGAAGGAAGAGCATAAAATGTACAGCCTTAAACGGTTTTCTATTTTTTTGTTTTTCTTGGTTCAGCGGGTCTGCGAGTGGGAGAGCGGCAAATCGCTAGATCGGAAAATCGGGAAAGCGAAAGAGATGAATGGAATATGGAAATCAATAAATAAAAACTACAATTTCATTCACGCCGGAGAGCGACAAGATTGTCGGACGTTGGGAAAATGAGAGGAGATAAGAGCCTGTTCCAGTGTCGCTTGTTTTGGTATTCGGGAAAATTATCTCCCTTATCACCCACTCTCTTCGAGTGGAATGCAATATAAGTAAATTACTTGCACCCTTCAAGGAAGGAACTGCAATTGACAACCCAAGTGTGAAGATAGATGCTATCAACATTCTTAAGAAACCGATAATAAAAACAAATACCGTGTATGTGATCTTCATATTTCCGGAAATTTAAAATATTGGTATTAAAAGTTGTTGGGAAAAAGAATAAGCCCTTTTACTTCTTATGTCACACCACCTACCTATCACATGCTTTTCCCTATCCCATATTTCCATCATAGAACTTTTCTGCTTTTTATCGCTTACTCCGCTTTCTGCACTCTACAGATATCAAAAGCGATTGATAAATAAACACAAATAAAAAGCAACCCACGCACATCTGCAGAAACAACAAGAATTGAGATGCACAGTTACATATACACAATATCCAGTAAAGAGAGTGGTAAAATGGGAGAGAGAAAAGAGGAGCAAGCGAGAGAGAGAGAGCCCAAGCAAATATTATCGCAGTTATTACGAAATCGCAATCGAAACATAACGGTAGATAGCAAAGCACCACCACTACAATAATAAAATTGAAATGGAGTGCGACGGATAAGGGGTGGGTACCGGGAAGTGGGAGTGAGGCAGAAGAAACTCAACAATCTCGCGCGCTCGCTCTCACACTTGCTGACTGCACAACTTGCAGTTAAAAAAGAAAGAAGAAGCACAAATAAGAAAGACAAAGTGTAACTGGCAAAGCGAACGAAGAACACGAAGCAGAAGTCAAGAACAAAAGTTGCCCGCCAGCCAAAGAAAATAGAAGAACAAACACCAGCCAAAGAAAATAGAAGAACAAACACACACTCAAAACTGGAGGGACGGAGCAAAGAGAACGCAGGAGAGAATTCTCCTTTAAGTTGCTATTTTTGTGCAACCAACTTAAAATTTTAAATTGAGTTCTAATGAAATTTTCACAGTATGAGAGTCAACTTACTTTGATTTTGCAGCCACGCATGCGCTGATTGGCTTTGTTTTCCAGCTCCTACAGATTCCAATTGGAGTTTGTACCCCGGCTGCAAACTGTTTTCTTCTCCTTGCTTTTGCTTTACTTTTACACATACACACTTAATTGCGCACATACACGCACACATACAAGTGCACGCACTGCAGGCGGCTGCGTTTTATTTGACTTCACCTATTAGGGCCGACTTTTAAGTGATTTTCACACTTTTCCAGCCAGTTCGGTTTAAGCCGTACTTCTATTTTACTTTTGCTCGCTTGCTCAGCTTCTTTAATATTTTTACATGCACTTTTAGCGACGCCAATACGGACGGACACAGACACACACACAGGCAGCGGTAGCGAGGCAGAAATACCAGAAACCGACAAGTTGATTTGCGGCTGCTTCCTTTTTGCACATTCTCTCTCTATCGCCGTTTCTTAATTTTATTCTCGACCTGCCGCTTTTTGCACTTTTTTAGCGGCTGCTGCAACTCGCACAAAAACATAAAACTACTTTTAAACACGCTGCAAGCCAGGAAATCTGTTAAAAATACAATTCAGAATTAGCCACAGCGCAGCCGAGCGGTTTTATCACGTTCATTTCGAATTAACTTTGTTATTTAGTTTGTTTTTTATCTCGAAAAAAAAACTGCTCAAGCGGCGACGCGACCGCCGCCAACCGAATTCTGTTTTCTTTTGTTGTTTCCTTTATCATCTGTTTCCTTTCGAACCAGTGATGTCGCAGCTAGATTACCAAAAAAAAAAACAGCTAAAAAAAGCCAAAATCCAAGGGGAAATTGCTAGAACAGCTAATATCGGTGTTACCAGATGTGATTTTTTAAATTTAGTCGTTAACAGAATTTTAACATAAATCTAACGTAGTGTCAAATGTATATTTTACGTAAAAAACAATGTCAAATGTAGCAAATGGGGGTGGAATTCCCAATCGGTAATACAGCTTAAAATCTAGCTATGTTGTAATCGGTTTTTAGTTTTTTACCTTTACTTATACTTTTTGCAAATTGGAGATCTCCGATAAGGATCGCGTTGAGTATACTGAGGATGCTGTAGCTATTCAGAATTTTGTGGTTGAGCAGCTAAAAGAGAACGGAGAAACTTTCCTAGAAAGGTGAAAGGTTTTTTGGCTGGTTTTCGGTATTAATTCGGATACCAGGTGGTATTTTTAAGATGCAACGACGCGGTCATACTTGCAAAATTAACTGTGCTTTCCCGCTTCTTCTTGCAAAGTTTTGTCGAATTTGTGAAAAACTGAAAAAAAAGGTGAATATATATTTCTTTTAGCACTAAATTGTTGTCCTATCGGGCACTTTATTGCCTAATACTGTGAAAGTCACTGAAACTATCAGTAACTGTTGGTTTTCTGTACATTTCAAAAACACCAAAGATCAAATCGGAGGCGGATCTGATCAAGTCGGAGCCGGCGGAGGCCGCTGCCAAGGAGCTTCTGAATGCTACGGCCACGCCGCCCACCCGTACGAGCTGGGCATCGGCGGCAACGCTTCCGCCACCTCTGCAGCACCAGGGGGCACAGTCGCTACCGCTGTCTGGCTACCCTATAGAGGGGCAACGGCAGCGCCGCCGCCGACGGAAGGCATTCCCTTTGTACATTTCTACACAACGGACCTGCAGCAGCAACTGAAGAAGAGCTACCGCAACCCCTTTCGCAGACGCACCGCCGAGATCAAATCGGAGGCGGACCTGATCAAGTCGGAGCTGGCGGAGGCCGCCGCCAAGGAGCGTGAGAATGCTACGGCCACGCCGCCCGACCGTAACTCGAGTTGCGAAAGTGTGAAGGCCAAGGCGGATAGCTCGGTTCCGCCTCTGATCCTACGCTTCCCCAACTGTCTCGTCCTCAGATTTTGCCAAGTGCGGCTGCAGCAGCACCTGCACCTGGCCAGCTGCTACGGATTGAGTGCCCAGCGGCGGGGACCGTGTCCGGGTGAGGTCATGATCGTAGGCTCCAGGACGGCCGTCTCATAATTTTCGTTTCTCCCCGACAGGCTGCTCCAACGTATTCTACAGCAGCGATACTCTTAGCCTGCACCTCAGTCTGGATCACCAACTGGAGGACGATGAGATACTGGCGCTGCTTAGCTAGAAACCCAACGAAGTCCACGTTAAGAAGCAGGCGCAGGCCCAGAACCAAGGCCAAGGCCAGCCCAAGAGCCGCATCTTCATCAAGAGCGTGGACTGTCTGCGCGAGCCACAGCAGCAACAGGTGAACGTGAACTCCCTGCCGGATTTTCCGCCCCTGATGCCAGACAGCGGCTGTGCCGGCAACATCCTGGACCTCCTGGAAGGCGTGGCGGTAGGCCCGTCGCCCAATAAACAGGCCGTGCCACCAGCACCGGCGAGTGCACCAGCAGCACCACCGCCACCGAAACCCAGCCCTTGCCTGTCCCTCCACTCGTGCCTTTGGCGGCGGAAGCCACGCCAACGCCTGCGGAAAAGCCCGCCGCATATATGTGGCCAGCAATCTACTGCCCGCTGCCGTAGAGCCACCAATGCCCGGAGGAACCTCCGTCCGCGGGCGTCCCTACGGGGCCAAGCACTCTGGCGGCAGTGCATCCTCAAAAAGGAGGGCACCGCCAGGCTCCGGCCAGGTGCCCGAGGGTGGCAAGTGCCAGGTGGAAGGCTGCATGTTCCGGTTCAAGTCGCCCGCCACCCTGGAGTACCACGGAAGGTGCCACAACGGGCTGCCCAGCTCCAGCCAGCCGATGATCTGCCCGGAGTGCAAGTCGAGCGACTTTAGCAACTGGAACTGCCTGCACACGCACCTGTGGCGCACCCACCAGATCGACATGGAGCTGTACTGCTGCCAGCTGTGCAGCTTCAAGACGCCCATCTACTCGCGGCTGGTCAACACGCACGCCAAGATCCACTCGGAGGAGCGCAACTACAAGTGCGAGCAGTGCGGCAAGGGCTTCAAGAACACGAAGCAGCTGAAGAACCACCGCTGGCTGCATCGCACCCAGGGGCTTGGCATGGGCAAACCTGGGCAGGCAGAGCTGGAACAGCAGCAGCAGCGGGGGGGTTCCGCCGCCGCTCTGGTGCATCGCTGCGAGGATTGCAGCGCGGCCTTCAAGCAGCGGAAGACCCTGCGGGAGCACCTGTGCAAAGAGCGCAACGAGCAGCTCGAGTGTTCCGAGTGCCAGCGGGTGTTTGGCTCGAAGAGCAGCTTACGCCTGCGCCTGCGGACGCATCAAGAGCGAAAGCGATTCCGCTGCGACATCTGTGACCATGAGACGAGCGATCACAACGTCTTCCGACGGCATCTCGGCACGCACAAGGAGCACAAACGCTACTCCTGTCCCCACTGTGACTTCCAGGCCATCCAGAGCACCGCCTTTCGGGTTCGCATTCTGTAAGTTCTCTCCGCAAACTGTTTCTTACCTTTCCCTTCACTCGATGCAGATACACCTCCAGAAGCGCCATCCCGAGCAGGAGCTGTCCTCGATCATCTACAAGTGCGACCAGTGCAGCTTCACGAGCATTAATCAAGGCCTGCTGCAGGTTCACCAGGCCAAGCACGAAGCACCAGCATCAGCACCAGCTGGGGCTCAAGCTCCCGCGGCAAACTCCTCCCAGATCAAGACGGAAAGCCAGGTGGTGCGCGCACATTCCAGTACAGAGGTGGACCTGCAGGCTGCTTCTTAAGCAGGAGAACCAAATTGTACGTATTTTAGGAGGGGTTTCTTTGGGAGACTCATCAAATACACACAAAGTGCTGCATAGTTTTAATCGTAAGAAAGTTTTATACCAAAATCGCAGAGAGAGCGAGAGAAGGAGGGAGTAAGCCTCCTTGGAATTTCTGTAGCTTCAAGTTTTTATAATATCTTATTACAAATATTGTTAAACATCCGAGTCAGTCCGTGGAGTTTTATATATATTTTTTTCTTGCTTTAATGCCACCCTAAATGATCCTGACTCCCTCAATAGGACCTCTCTCTACGACTTTGGCCTACACCAAAGATACATACATATACAAATATTTTCTTCAAACTCTTGTCTGTTTTTTTTTCGGTACATATTTACTGTATATCCTTAAGAATCTGTTACTTTACATATGAATTGTATATATATAAAGGTCAATCGGGCAAACTTTTGTATCAAATTCAATTTCAGTTTCTTTCCCTTAGCCCTGGACTTCCATGAAAGTCGTCTTGTGTTAAAAACATAAAATCTCAAAGCTAATTTATTTAATTAAAGTCTTTAGGTGAGGTTTAAAAAAGTCAGAGATCATGGATTCATCAGCTGAAATACAAATTCTCAAATAATAATAAAAAAATATAATAAAATCTTCTATTGAAATGTCCCTTTAGGCATTCCTTAAGTAATAAGTAGACAACTTTTAAATTCAATATTTTTTAAGCCTTTAATGGGAGAAACTTTCTTGTTGCTTCTATACAAAATTTAATTACAGATTTTTTGCTCGGTCTTTGCTTTTTGTTGTTTGTTTTTTTTTTCGGTATTTTGTTGTTGTTTTTAGCTATTAGATTCATTAAATATACAATAGGGAGGAAACGGAGTTAGACGAACATTAGCAGAACTCTTAGAGATCTTATAACCGAGTCGAATCGCTGCTCGATTACACATAAATCCTAGGACCTACAGGAGGAAGCATTTGATATGTTGTAAAAATGTCATTAAATATATTTATGTGTATGTTAGAGATACTATATGTTCTAATGAGTTAATCTTATATACGCGAGTGCCTATGTATCGGTAAAATTACAATTTATTTAAATAATTAGTTAACAGAGAGAGAGAGAGAGAGAGAGAGAGAGAGAGAGAGAGAGAGAGAGAGAGAGAGAGAGAGAGAGAGAGAGAGAGAGAGAGAGAGAGAGAGAGAGAGAGAGAGAGAGAGAGAGAGAGAGAGAGAGAGAGAGAGAGAGAGAGAGAGAGAGAGAGAGGGGGAGAAGGTTGGCTTCAAGCCGTTCCTCATAGCTGGGTTTCATGTTCTCTGTTCCTTGGCACTCTATGCAAGTCTTAGTTTATATTTTAATTTACTTTAGCCTTACTAATTACACGTTACTTGTTAGTTAGTTTGTGTTTAATTAATTGCGTTTTGAGTATTCTTGCGTATAATTTCATTGGGTGTCTCAGTGCGCGGTCCTAGCAAACCTATTCGCTCTATCCCGGATTCCCTTTCCTGGCGCTGAAGAACATCCTGGCCACCTTGCCGAGCGCCCCCACAAAGTCCCGTCTATCGCCGCCCGGCGCCTGGCTCTGCCTGCCATCTTGGTACTACTGCTGCTGCTGGAAATGATGCTGCTCCTGATAGGAGTGGGCCTGGCCCTGATCGTCTAGCACCTAGGAGGGCGTGGAGTACCAACCGCTGGTCGGGCTGCCCTTGTGGTAGAGATGGAAGCTCGAGTCCGGCGCAAAGTACTGCGGCTGGTCCAGATTGCTGTAGGTCACTCCGCCCTCGGTGGTGGTGGTCGACGGGTGCATGGCAGCCGTGTAGGCCTGCGGCTTCAGAGGCAACGTCTCCGAATGTCGTCGCATACTGGCCCCGGAGCGGATCGGGGGCATAGTCGCAGCCACCGCCATTCGAGGTGAGCACGGGCGCCGCCTTGCCAGGCTGATTGGAGTCTCGCGGGGACACTGAGCTGGGCGGGGTCATGGCGTTGTGGTAGTCGATGGAGCTGTGATAGCCCCCGTAGGTGGACACCAGATTGGTAAAG